ATCCAGAACACGACCAAACCCACTAGCTGGAAGCGGCTTCCCAGAGCATCTTGGGGCCAAATTCCATTTCAGTTGTCCATTCGACAGGTGACACAATGAGCTGTCACTGAAAACATATTCAGATCGAGTTTCCTGTCTAGCAAGAAGGTGTTTTGGGAAAATTTACACGTTCACATTTATTTAATAAACACTCATATGGGACTTACCATGAGTCAGACATTGTTATAACATTTTACGTATTTAACTAATTTAATTCTCATAAGATCTTAAGAAGGTTCTTTTACTTTCCCTGTTTTGCAGATGGAAACCCCGAAGTCCAGAGACATTAGGTACCTTGTCTTAGAGCACACGACTATTGAGGGGCAGAGGGGAACCAAACACAGGCCATCTGGCTCCGGGGTCCGTGTACCTACAGTGATGCTGTGTGTTGCATTTAGGAAGTCCGCTCTCTCAAGGAATGTCACATCATGTCCTTACATGAGAGGTTACCCCTTCTGCAGCTCGCATGTATCTGTTCTGTGTATCTGAATCTTCAAGCTCCTAGTTTGTTTAAACTTAACGTTGTGATGCTTTGTGAAAAAGCTGGTAAAATATGCAAAAGATACTATTCACCATTTAAAAATATGTATAATTTTTATGTTTATTACCTTTTTAAAAGATTATTTATTTATTTGACAGAGTGTGCACGCCAGAGAGCACAAGCAGGGGGAACAGCAGAGGGAGAAGCAGGCTCCCCGCTGAGCAGAGAGCCCGACGCGGGGCTCCATCCTAGGACCCTGGGATCATGACCTGAGCCGAAGGCAGAGGCTTAACCCCACTGAGCCACCCAGGCGCCCCGTTTTTTAATTGTTTATTTATTTATTTTTGTTTATTATTTTCTTAACAAGAGAAGAAACATTTGCAAGGTGGCAGACTCTAGACACACAGTGAATTAAATTATCCCACTACAACTGTGGGGAGCGCGGTTTAGGAAATAGTGTGCTAGCTTGTTCGGGGTTTTTTTTTTAATTTTTTTTTTAAGATTTTATTTATTTATTTGACAGAGAGAGATCACAAGCAGGCAGAGAGGCAGGCAGAGAGAGAGGAGGAAGCAGGCTCCCTGCTGAGCAGAGAGCCCGATGTGGGGCTCGATCCCAGGACTCTGAGATCATGACCTGAGCCGAAGGCAGAGGCTTTAACCCACTGAGCCACCCAGGCGCCCCTGTTCGTTTGTTTTTAAGAAATAAAAGGTTGCGTTCATTTTAGCAGAGATAATTTTCAAGAAAACACAAAGTAACTTTAGTTCATTCATATGGGATTTCTGACCCACATAACTGCAAATGGTCAGTGATGTATTTTTCAAATACCAGTGACCCTGATATCCGCGCTCACAGGGCCAGACGTAGGGACGACCCTGAGTTTCATTCCTTGGTTTTCTGTAACAGTGTCTGTGAGTTAGAAGTAAAATCTCACCTCCCTTTGGGACAGTAGATTTAGGACGTGTTTTATCTGTGTTTCTGCTCACAGATATTAGGTCTTCCTTTCAAAAGCTGACCAAGAGTATGTGTCATGAAAATGATATACAGAATGATATAGAAAACAAACCTCCAGTAACGCAGGATAAGGGGAGTTCTAGAAACACTCAGAAAGTGTTCTGAAACCCTGGAGCAGAAAACACTCTTTAACAATAGCACGAGCCGGGAAGCCACAGGCACAGTATTATGTGCTAGGCCCTGCGGGGGCTTGACTGTACAGGTGTCACCGGCCTAGCATGTGGAGTTCTGCTGATCAGAGTGGGGTCCCCATATTATACCCCAAGAGCCACAGAAGGTCACTTCCTCCCAGGCTGACAGGAAAGGGGTGAGGAAGGTTTCCGGGAATAATGAGTACCTTCTGGCAATGATTGCTTTGTCCTGGCCAGAGGTCAGGGGAGGGGTCTGCAGCACTCAGGGTCATTGCCCCCAAAGGGGACAGAGAACAAAGGGTATTGTTTCCAACTCTCTCACAGGACAGCCCAAGCCCGAGGGATGGGAGTAGCGCAATTAGGAGCAGAAGAAACAACTCCTTTGAGTAAGGGATGGGGTCTTGGCCTGAGTCACCTGTGTCCTCGTTGGAAGGAACCATTCCACCCCCGGAGGCCCTGGGAGGAGGAGCCGGTGATGCTAACTACCGTTTAGATTTCACACCCCCTGTATTCTGTGGGGTCTCTGCAAGACCTCAGTCAAGGTTTGGCTCTGGGTGGGAGGGGAGCTGACTCAGGGGGAGGGTCTGAGAAAAATGGTCCGGCCAGCAGCTCCTCTTGGGGGAGGGGAAGGGCGACTGCAGGAACACGCAGCGGGTGGAGGCACCAGAGGCGGGGTGTCCCACCTGCCAGTCCCCACTCTCGTGCTCCTCTCTCCCAGCCTGTCTGTCAGGGAGCCCGGCTCTGAGGGCAGGGACGGCTCTGGCCTCACTAGAGCCCGGCGTCTGGCCGCGGGTCTTGAACTCCGCCCTCTGCCGCCCATTCTCAGGGTGCTCATCCGAAAACCGGGGCATCATCTCCCAGTGCTCTGCGGGCGTTGGGTTATCTGAGGAGGCTCTGCATCTGGTCCTCGTGTTCCTGCCTCCGCAGGTAGGCCCTGCCGCGTCCCGGTGCGCAGCGTAAGGTCCCCGGGACCTGGCTCACTTCAGCCCGCTGGGTTCTCATTCCTGCTTCCTGGTGACGTGACACCCCCATTCCCACCCTGCCATTCACCTGGGGGATGAGTCTCTCCCCTTCCCCAGGGATGAGAAGGCAAGCACTGGCACCAGGGACCGGGTCAGGGTGAGGACGGGGTGAGGGCCGGTCCCTTTTTTATCAGTGTTTTTCAGAGCAAAGTCTGGAATGGGGTCTCAAGAATTTGAGGGGCGCCTGGGTGGCTCCGTCGGTGAAGTGTCTGCCTTCAGCTCACATCCTGATCTCCGGGTCCTGGGCTCGAGTCCCGCTTCGGGCGGCTGCTTCTCCCTCTGCCCCTCCCCTGCTTGTGTTAACTGTCTCTCAAATAAAGCAAATCTTTAAAAAACAAACAGGAAAACAAGACAGAATAGAATCTTGAGTCTCCTATTAGCGTAACGTTCTGGCAGGGCTTGACGGAGGTCTGAGAGCGTGGAGACCACATCCCCCTGGAGGTGAAGGCCCTCGCCACGGGCCAGGCCCTGCTCAGCCGTGAGGACACACGGATGGGCTTTGTGTTGTGTTGGGCCCATCAGGATGGTGATCAGAGTTGGCGTGGGCTTTCAGAGAAGCCCAGAGATGGGCCGTGTAACCTGGCTTTGTGGATGAAAGCGTTCCAGAAGTGGGGAAGACAGCGGACGCCTTCCTGGAGGAGACATCCCAATGCGTCTTACGGACGGGCAGGGTGCAGGACACAGGAGCGGAGTATCTGGTGGAGGACATAGCGCGGGGTGAGGAGCCGTATATAACACTGTAAGAACATAACAGTATTCAAGACACGGAGGTCAGAAAACGAGGCTGAGAGAATAAAGACGGGCCAGATCTTTTCACCGGAACCACAACACCAGCGCTCGGCACAGTGTCGCTCTCCTCTTACAAATCGGCAATCAGAGGCTCAGAGAGGTTAAGTAACTTGCCCATGTTACGCAGTCAGCACGTGGCAGAGCTGGGATGGGAACCCTGTCTGAGTTTAGAACACAGGGTCCCCACCGGTGGATTAGGGACGGGAGGCCCAGTTTTGTGTGGGCAGGGCAGCTGGGCGGGGTCTGGGCTTCCACATCTGTCTTTCAGACCCTCCTCTTTGAGCAGACGGCTTTTTGCGGCCTTCTGGTTTCAGGTGGGCCTCCCGTCCCTCTGGTTATTTTCAGGTGTGCATCTGCTACAGATGGAGGGGAAGGAGCAGCCGCAGTGGGAACCACGTCCCAGCCCTGCTGCAACCCCATTTAAAACGTCCCAGCCCTGCTGCAACCCCATTTAAAACAGCGGAAGAGAAGGCCAGTGGCCAAAAGATCTGCTCTCCAAAGGCCTCTCTTTCCCTGTCTGTGGGTGCGGCTGAAGGAGGCCATGGGAAGCAGCTTCCGCCAAGAGCTGGGACAGGGCCTGTGCCTGGTTCTGCCTAGCAGTGCTGATGGGCCTTCCCATGAGACCCAGGTGCATGGGGTCTGGGGCCTGCCTTCCAGAAGCTCTGTCCCTTCATGTCAGGGTCAGTCCACCCCGGGGCTCCAGTCAGGCCATGCGGGTTCCACCTGTTTGGAAGCTAGATTTGGGGGGAGGGTCAGCTTGAAGCCCAAAGCAGAAAAGCACATTCTAATTAGTTCTAATTAGTAGTTGGTTTTCCATTTCTCAACCTAGACCTTATTTCAGGACTTTTTTCCTCTTCAAATTGAGCTCTGAGGCCCCCTATCAGGTCCAGGACCCCCCACTGGGGAGCACAGGTGGATCCTTTTGAAAAGTCCTTGTGGTTGCTCCTGAAAGCGAGGACCAGTTTCGGTCAGGCGGGGAAGTCTCGCACGTTCCGACCTCGGCGAACACCTGTGGCCCAGGCTGTGTCTGGGGGTGTCCATGTCGTCTCCCGGGTCATACAGACTTTGTTATGTGCATAGGACAGGAGAACACAGCGAAAAGCCAGAGACTCGGAAATGCGATCAGAGACACAGCAGCAGAGGTCTCGGCGCGGACCGGGTCTGGGCGCGGACCGGGTCTGATGGGCCCCCGACAGCGCGCGCCCCAGGGGGCAGGCGGGAGAGAGAACCGACCTTGACCACAGCGGGTCTTCCGACGCCCGAGCCTGAGGGGGGTTCGGTGGGGGAGGCCCGGGCCTCCGCGCTTTTCCCGGCTCCCTGGGCGCATCCGCCGCTGAGCCCCCGCGTCGCCGGCTCCCTTGGGCTCTCGGGTGCCGCTTTGACAGCGCGATCCCGGCCTCGAAACCAAAATTCAAAACCCAGCGCGGCGCTCACTCCCCCGCGCTCCGCCGCACGGTGGGCCGAGCCGGGCCTGGGTCGCCGGAGCAGGGCCGGGGTCGCGGGTGCGGACAGGCAGGTGCGGCGCTGCGGCCGGAAGCGGCCCCCGCGGTCGGGTGCGCGCGGGGCGGTTGCGCCACGCGCTCGGCTTTCGTAACAGCGCCCCGGGCCGGCGGGGGCCGCTCCTCCAGTGTCACAGGCGCCGGGACGGTCGGCGGCTCCGCGTCGTGAGCCCGCGGGAGCTGCCACCCAGCAGGGGCCGAGGGGGCACGGGGACTCGCCGGGCGCCGTGCGCGGGCCCCCGGGGACCACGGCGCTGCCCTCGGGGCCGGAGCCCGCTCGCTGCCCGCCCCGCCGCCCCGGGCCCGGGGCCTCGGCCGTGGAGGAAGCATGCTGGCCCTGCGCTGCGCGCTGCTGACAGCCCTGCTGGCCGCGCCGGGGGCCGTCGTGGTCCCCGGGGGCTGCCCCGCGCCGGGTAAGAGCTCCGCGCGCGCCTGGAGGGCGGGGGCGGCCGGCGGGAGGAAGGGGGGCGGTGCCCCTGTCCCGCGCCCACCCGCCGCTCGTGCGCCCCACCGCGTCTTGCGCCTTTGGCCGCGGAGGCCGCCGCGCTGCCCGCTGCCCCGGGCCCGGCGTGTTCTGGGAACGCCACGTCCGGAGCCTCCTCCCTGCGCCCCCACGAGTCCTTAAAGGGCAGAGGTCCCAGCGGGGTTGGGGGCGCGGATCTCCCGCCCGGGGGTCCTGTGTACCAGCGCCTCTGCGCCGGCAGCCGTGGGGGCCGCGTGACTGGCTCTGCCCCCCCACCCCAGCCCCGACCGCGAAGGTCCCGCTGCCCGCACTGGCCTCGGCAGACCGCGGCGCTGGGCGTTGAACCGGCTTTCGGAGGGCGGCTCAGGAGCGGACGTCTTGGGGCCGGCACATACTGGGCTCTCCTTCCAGAGAGGAGGGGTGAGGCCCAGGGCAGTGGGCCCTGCTGCTCCTGTTGCCTGTAATCAGCTCTTGGCAGCCAGGCCCTTCTGTGGGCCCTGGCAGTATGCCCAGCTGCGTGTCCAGGCTCTCCTCTAGCCCAGCGGCCACTGCTTCTTCCCAAGAAGCTTATTTTAGGCTCCGAGGGCTTCTCTGAGGGGCAGCCTGCAGGTTTCTGGGAACCGATGGCTCCTGTCCTGGGCAGACATCCTCAGCCTGATCTCTCTGCCCAGAGAGGACTCCAGAGTCAGAGGCTGGGGGCGGGCTGCCTTCTGGCTGGTGGTGCCCCTGGCCCTGGGCGGAGGGACCTAAAGGGGTTCCCTCTGTCAGTGCACACGGGGGACCCCTGCAGGGAGCAGTCACCATTGATTGGGGCCGCAGATACCGTACACTTGTGTCCCCATCCTCTGCTGGGTCTAAAATACACTTGGTGCCAGGGAGACAGGTTCACAGAGGTTGGGAAGGGAGGTGGGCAGACCCTTGGTGGAGGCCCAGGCTCCTGAGGCTCTAGTGCTGTATGTCCCCCCAGAAGCAGAGCTGGGGCTGTTTGTGGGGAGGGGAGCTGAGCACTGGGGCCAAAGGGGCTGACGGAAGGGAAGTGAGACCTGGGCTCATCCCATGGGGGTGCCAGAGGCCTGCAGGGTGGGGTGGAGGCTTCTCTGGTGTCCATCGTCTTCCCGGCCCCCTGCAAGGGGCTCCCCTGCTTGTGACTGTGCGCCTCCCACCACGCCCCAGGGCACCTGCCCCAGGGGGATTCCTGCCTTGGCTCCTAAGAGGTTGCAGTCAGTCCCTGCTTGCGTGGTGGTCTCAAGGCCCAGACAGCCCCGGAAAGGCAGAACTGAGAGCTGGGGGAGGAAGTGAGAGACCAGTTCAGAAGGAAAATGCAGAGAAGCAGAAAATACCCCGCTCTACTCCCACACCCACGCAGACTCGGCCCACAAGCTGGGGAGTAAAAATGAAGATATTGTCCAGGAAGCAGGCCCCCGATGAGTGTGCACGTCTTGCCTCGGGGAGGAGAGGGGGCAGCAGAGGCCGAGCTGGGAGAGAGGGGAAATCCGGTGGGTCTCGGGGTGGGGGCTCGCGCAGCCGGGGGCCCGCTTTCCCCGCGGTCAGAGGCTGCCCGCGTGGCCGGGCTGAGGGCACCGCTCAGGTGTACTCGCTGTCAGGGGCGCGGCACGGCTGGGACTTAGGTGTTGGGCGTGGAAGGCCTGGACACGGGTGACTCAGGTTCCTGCCGCCTGCTGCGGAGCGCCACGGGGCACAGGCAAGCGCGTACAGCTGCCTGTCTCCAGAGTCCTGTCTGGGCGTCTGAACCTCCCTCGGGGCGCGTCTTCCTGCCGCAGTGCCTGCCTGCCCTCTTAGCCTCACCCCTGTCGGGCCTCCCCAGCTGGGTGGTTTGGGTCTCGGTGTATCAGAGTTCGAGGCTGTGTTGGCTCGATTTTGGCGCCCACCCCAGATCCATTGCGGAGAGAGCTCTGGAAGCCGGGAGGGTCCCTTTCTACACGTGCCTGCGGTTCGCTGGCCAGGATGGCGGGCTCCGGTGGTGCTCGGCCCGCTGAAGGCAGGCCCTCTGCCCTCCGGCTTCTGGTCGCCAGAAGTCTCTCCCCGCCTTGGCTCTGCCCTTGTTTATTCACTTGAGCAAACACTGAGGCCGCGTAAAGCCCTGTGAGGCCCGTGTGGGACCGGCCACCCAGACTCCACCCTAAAAGGAGCTTGAACATGGCCAAGAGTAAGTCCCTGAGAGGGACCGAGAAAGCCCAGCCGCCTGAGGCCTGGAGGTGCCAGCGTTCTAAGGACAAACTGTCTGGAGGCTGGATGGTGCGGAGGAAGCACCCGGGGACAGACCCCGGCGCACGGCTGCGGCGTGTGTGAGGGTCCCCGGGGCAGCTGTGCACAACGCACTGTGCACGCCTCCCCCTCGCCCCGGCCGGCCCGTGTGCCCCCACGCCAGCAGCCGCTGGTCAGGTGTAGCTGCTCCGTTTAAACAAATGACGGCGAAGTCAGGTCACAGCCGCCGCCGTCCTCGGTTGCTCAGCAGCGCGAGTGGCGGTCGCGTCCTGGGCACGGAGAGTCTCTGTCACTGCGGGAAGTTCTCCTGGGTGTGTGGCCGGGGTGGAGGGGGGACCGGTTCTTCCCAAGTCTGCTGCGGCCAACGCCCCCCCTCCCCCCCACCTCCTTTTCTCCACGGGGAGCAGCTCAGCACCCCAGCTCTCTGCCCAGCTGTGCAAATGGGGGAGCTGACGTCCCAGAGCTGACAGTCCGCGCGTTTGAGCAAACTCTTCCGACTGCTTGTGTTCCCGACGCTATTCTTAGAGCCGTGGAGGCAAACATGGGCAAAACAGACTGAAGTCCCAGGCTCCCTGTGCTTCAGTTTGGAGAAGAGATTTAAATACGGGGCCAGTGGTTCCGCAGTTGGGGTGGGGGCGTCGGGGAGGGGAAACGAGCTGGGTAGTGGGGGACAGGGGACAAGTGGTTGGGGGGGAGAATGAGCGGGTGGGGGGCTGGGACTGTGCATGTGACGGGCCGTGGAGCTGGCCTTTCGGAGGGGAGGCTCTCATGGAGAGGGTGACATGTGAAGGGGGCTTGAGGGAACTCAGTAGGGATCCCTCACACTCCCCCCGGGAAGCTGCCTCCGCCGCCTCGCACCCTGATGCGGCTGGCACGAAGGGCCTCATAGGCTCTTGGGCAGAGGGCTCCATGGGGACACTTGGTGCCCCTTGGACACCAGCGGGGAAGCTGCCATCCAGGTAGGGTCTGTGAGAGAGTGCTTGAGGGCTGGAGTGGGCGCTTCCTTTGGGTGTGGAATCTGTGATTCACTCTCTCCTGGGCCACGAGATCCCACGAGGTCCGCGGCCCTTGGCACGGTCGCCCTTGCCCAGTGTGCTGCTGGGTCCTCAGCGGGCCCCCCACCCTCACCTGCCCTCTGCCGGCTCCACCCTGGGCTCTGCCTGTAGGGGTGCGGCGCCCCTGAGGCCCTGCATCCGGGCTGTCCCTCCAGCCCCTGCGCTGTGTCCCTCTGCCTCCCAGCCGCCTTTCCTGAAGAGCCTGCTTGGTCTTCCCTCCCTGCTCAGCAGCACCTCGAGTGCCAGCCACACGCAGAGAAGCGCTGGCTTCTGCCCCAGGCCACATGGGACGGGCGGGGGGAGCGGGTACAGATTTTGTTGGAGGGGAAGATCAGGTCAGTTTGGGACATACGGGAACGGAGACATGGATCAGCCAGTGGGAGGTGTGGGAGCTGGAGTTTGGGAATGAGGACGGCCTGCGCCTGCAGTAGGTCCGTGGGAGCGGTCTCATGGCAGCTGTCATTTCAGGCCTGGAGGGTGGCCAGCCTCACACGCGCTGAGTGTAGCTGGGGAACAGGAGAGAAGAGGCCTGCGGAGCCTGCTCGGGCTGGCTGGGGAGAAGGGGAGACTGGTGACGTCGCAGGGAGCCAGGAGCGTTGGGGTCTGGCAGCCCAGTGGGGACAGCTTGGGGAAGAGGAGGGAGCAGTCCTCGGTGTCCCACAGTGTCCCGTGGGGCAGGGGGCCACTCCGGAGCAGGGCTGGGCCCTGACTGGTGTGCTTAGAAACAGTCAGGCCTTTGGTGACCTTCACAGGAGGAGTTGCGGGGCGAGGCTGGAGGCCGGGGCTGCTGGGAGGGGTTCGTGAGGGCACCGGCAGAGGGCAGCTGGCACGGCGGGCGTGGGCTGCTCTTGGAGGAGGTGAGCTGTAGACGGGTAGGGCAGTGGGGTGCGCCTTCGCTGGAAAAGTGGGAATAAGAAAAGGTATTTCTAGAAAGACGACAACTGTCCGCTTGCTTGCGTGCGGCCGGAAACGATGGGGCACGTTGACGGAGGTGAGAGCTGCGGAAACCGTCCTTGAGTGGGCGAGAGGAGACTGAGGCTCAGAGAGGTTGTGGGGCGCCCGAGATCACACGGCAAGGAAGTGACAGGCTCTTTGCCCTAAGCCACATGTGCTACCAAGTCCAGCCCCGCCCTTGCCCCTGCCCGGCTGGAGGGGCCGTGATGCCAAGGTCGCCTCTCTTGCCAGCGCCCACATCAGAGGCCCGCCAAGAGACGATGCCTTGGTGTGGCGGGGAGTGCGCCGGGGCCCAGGCGGGGTCTGCGGCCTCCTCTTCAGTGTGGAACGGTGTGGCAGGCCGCTCGCCAGCCCCCCAGTTTGGGGCAGGGCACATCCAGCCTCGGCAGGCAAGACGTGGACACACAAGTGGGGCTTGATGGATGTTACTGATTTCGGGAGCCCATTCAGACAGGAGGAGGGGCTGCTGGAGCCCAAGGACTCCCTTGCAGAAAAGCGGAGGCCACTGGGGCAGTGGCGACAAGAATTGCTGAGCTGCACCCGTGGCTCCAGCGGTGAAGCGGCTTGGTTTCTGCTGGGGTTGTGGTCTCGAAGTTGTGGGATCGAGCCCAGCTCTGTGCTCAGCGCGGCTCTGTTTGGGATTGTTCCCCGCCCCCCAACCCCACTCCGGCGCTTGCTGGCGCGCGTTCCCTCTCCCATGGCTCGTATTTCCGAG